GGAAATGGAAATGAGGATCATGAACCCATGGAAGAGTACTCATAGATCATAGCATCATGGGGTTCAGAGTATATATAAAAGTATGATGTGTGTATTGGCCATATTGGAACACCATCAACCAGTGATATGTAGGTCTTGTGAGTGATATGAATCCGTGAGAAAAAGGTTAAAATGAACTCAGGGTATTCATGTTCTTACAAGAGACATAGGAACATATTATTAGGAGATAAACTCCTAAGTGGTGGATGCTACTAGTCAAATTCGAAATTGGCAAATGTCTGGTCATAAGTTGACATGTAATGAGGTAGTAAGTAGCATATGGTTCACTGGATTAATGGTTAAAGGAAGACCATGAAAATGAGAAAAGGAATTCTCAAGAACAGCATTGTTCCTAAGCTGTTCATGGACTGAAATGATGCAGCTGCAGGTAGATGGTTCTATAAGTGAACAAATTCATATCAGTCCATGTGTATTATGCAAAAGGTGTATAATCCATTATGTTAATCCATAGAAAGGATGGATGGTTCAATGACTATGTCATTGGCATAAGTGTTGAGATCAGCACTACCACACTTCATAAGAAGTGGACGTATGGAAAGGCTAAGGGAGCCGTATGGTCCATACCAAAGTTCATACCGACCAAGGCTAAGGTCCGGTTACATTCTAAGTCCAATCATCCATGGTGTGATGACCAATATGTTGGTTCAAAACGTGGTTATGACCTAAAGGTACTAAACTATCAAGGTTCATAGTTTAAAGGTCTTAAGGAACCAATGTAGTATAAATTGTACCTATACATCACCACACATAAGCCATGTTGCTATGGCAACATTAGGCACTCATTGGCGAGTTGTTGACATGTGTGGGTAAGGTCCATGACTATAATGTACTTTGGTACGTTGCCTAATACAAGAAGGTCATGGGACACCATCAAAGGAAGTATGGTATGTGATGTTTAAGTACAAAGGTTATAGTGTGGGACTAGAATGAAGGCACGACCATTAAGCTTTGTATTAATGGATTAAAGAAAACTATAAGAGTCCAAAAGAGTGACCAAAATAGGCATGGTTAAGTCCTAATAGATATGGTATTGCTAAAGGCAAGAAAGGTCGATAAGTCATGTATAAGGTCCATAAGCATTTGCTGCAGATCCATGGTTGGATGTGATCATAATATTCATTGCAGCAACTGGTGAGGTA